GAAAGAGCTCAGGTAGCAAAAGCTGCAGTTGGGCCCAGTCTGTTGAGGTGGTCAGGGTGGGGGGGCAGAGGGTAGCGCGACTGTTGGGAGAGGTCGTTGTCAAAATCCCAAGACAAGCTTGTGCGGCGCGTCGGAGGCCACAGCTTCCCAGACAGTTTTCAGACAGCAAGAGACAAACCTCAAGCCTGGATGCAGGATGGGTGATGCCCGGCGTCCGTTCCATGGGGTACCCATGAGCTCTTTGACGCTCGATTTTTGTGTACAGTTGAATCCGACGGTACCTGAAAGCTCCCAAAACTTTCGAGTCCGGCGGCTCCTGAAAATCTAGAGGTGTCCAGGAATCTTCGCAAATCCCAACTGCTCCCACAAAAAACCAAAAAGACGCAGCCAGCCAGGACTAGACATGGCTTTCGAAGGGCCAGGCCGAGAGGATCCTGAGCCCGTTTCCGTTTATGGAGGTTGTATCTCTTAAAAATTCTGGCGAGTAACAGGATAAACGCTGTGCTTTTCATCGCTTATTACCCGTTTATCAAGCCAACTCACTAGAGCTTTAACATCGGCAAGATGCGCATAAACGCGGGACAGAGTTGGCCCAGTATGTCTACAGACTCAAATGCCAAGCTAGCGCAGCAGTTCTTGCAGTATGCCCGCCACCGCCGGTATACTCGCCTCAGCCTTCTGATTTCCAGAGCGTCCTACCAGTTGTCATCAATGAGTGTCTGGTGCAACTGAGTATTGTTCTTCATAACAGCGCCCGTCGCGCGCTCTAGTTGCGGCAGGCGCATGATTGCTTGATTGCGATGTCAACATTACGCGACTGCTGACTATCTGACCAGCCTCATTGTACAGAACCTTCAAAACAACCTCCAGGGGTTGAAAGGGCAAAGACCGATTTTTTGAGTCGAAGCCCGATTTGCTTCATTTAACTCCCTTTAGCAATGGTATCTCTGCGAACACAACTTTGCTGGCTGCAGACAGCCTAAATGGACTCTTGGGGCAGGGACTCGGAGCAGACTTCAAGGCATCTTGCGGTCGCAGAAACAATGTGGTGTCTGCCCGGCAGGATCGGACAAGCGAAGACCTTGTTTACATATCGCTACCTTTCTCAAACAATCCAGCTGCTCCAAAAACATGCCCATTCGTCAGGAGTGCTTGTTTACCAGGCAAAGGTTTCAAACACGGCTGGCTGGCGGCTGAATGTTCAGGTAGCCTGTCTACAAAACTTCTACAGAACGGAAGGGCACCTTGGCCTATGAGTCATGCAATCACAGCTACATCGATTCCTCCGAGGCTCTTGGACCCAGCGATACACTCACTTCCCTGCAAAATCTCTACGCTCACTATTTGTTGCATAACTTCTGTTTCATGAGTTCTGGCAAGGGGGACAACTAAACACTCCATGCTTGCGGCCCTCTTTTCGTCAATGCACCTCTCATGCACAAACGTCGCCGCAGAGCAACAGAATCTCGGCTGGCACTTTCGTCCAAGCCTTTGCACTCTTGAATTCTGCCTAGTTGAAGGCATCCGTGCACACACGGTGAGGTATTAGTTCTACCTTCTACAACCTGAGATATCATCAAAGTGAAGGGTCAATTTTCCTTGTGATGAGCAGCGCTGCATAGCATGTCTGACTGACCCCCACCTTGACGAGGAACTACATGATCTTCGAAGACTGTACCACCAAAATCGCCTCCCAGAAGCACACGCGCAGTCCTTGGCAGACAACACCTTTACAGTGCAAAACACGAACTGTAGAGGGCATGGCAACCAAGACACGCTCTGTCAGCATGTTCTCTGCCGGCGCCAAGGAAGGACTCGAGGTTCTGTGGTTCCCCTGCATGGACAGCTTGTGCAGGGTGAGGAGCGCTTCTCATGCCGAAGGGTTTCTCGCAAGCAGGCAAACACTGGCTGACGCGCCTCAACAATGCAGCCCGTACCACTGGCATAACTTGGTCACTTGAAACCGGCCATCAAGTTGAAGCTTGCAAGGGTCATTGCGGCCTCTTCCCTCCACATCGTATGCTTTGGAGGCTCTGCGTTTGTCACGCTCCACCGCATAGCTTAGCAACAGACAAAACCCTGCTTACTTTGATACGTGTTCCACACATGATGAAACTTGGTTCGCCAACAACTTGCTTATGTGGTTGGGACTGGCATCATCATGGGCGTCTCATCAAGTATCGGCTGAATAGCTTGGAAAGTCCGTGGACATGATAGACCCGAGCCCTGGCCTGCTGTGTTTTCAGCGCAAAGGAAAAGCAGCTGAAACTCACCTGAATGATTGAAGCGCGCTGCCAGCTGGTTCACGGCTAGATGACATTTGAACCGGCATCGGCGCTATCATGAGCATCTACACTAGTCGTGTGCACCCCCGCATCTTCGCCATTGTGACGCCTAGCAAGCTACAGTAGGTTGCAAAGATCATTTGGCAGAAATCCAGGCTTGAACAAAATAACTCCAACTGGAACCCTTATTCCTTAGCGTTGCACAGACGTTCAGAAGGGAAAGCTTGACTGAACAGGTTGTGGCCAAGATTCGAATCGCATCGGGGTGATAGCAGCGGGCCCGCCATGAAGTCTGGCGATTCTGGCCACGCGCCCAAAGCTCGTGGGTGTCTTCGGGGGTTCAAGGGGTATGGCTGCTAGGAGCCCGCAGTTTACCCTTGCATTTTCCTTGTCTGTAGATCACAGGGTCTCTTGAACCCCCTTGCATCCCCTTGCAACACCCTTTGATCCTTATGAGAAGCACCCCCTTCCTGAGGGATGTGGACCACATGCAACGTAATTTAAGCAGCAAGTACCGAATTCATCTGCCGCGCAGCCAGCTACATGATGCCTTCAGCTTGCAGGATGTGGCGTTGGGGCCAGTGCTTGCCATCTAGTGCTGATCAACTAGCGCTGATGTCTGCTAGTCGGACAGTCAAGTTGAACAATTTGGCATCTACTTTCTTTGCGTGGCCATGAAGCATCATGCCTGTAGCAGAGAATGGTGTTGACATTCTCTCGACTTCGCGATCATACGGACATGCCGGGGCTTGTTCCCCGTCAGGTTGGGACATTATAAAGGAACAAGCCCCAAAGCCTGCGATGGTGGATTGCTCAGTCCTTAAGCGGCCTCACACCAGCCAGGCACCAAGAAGAAACCACTCACCTCAAGCTGGTGCTCGTCGTGTCACAAGACTTAGGTTGTGCTGCCTTTGGCGACAACCCATCCAGCATTGCTCGTCTTGGATTGTCTAAGGCTCAGGGAAGCCATTGATTAGCATATCGGATTGGCGTCTGACAATCCTTACCTGATTAGCAAAGCTGGGTCATTTGCGGGTGTTGGAACCTTGTTGTCGGCGCATCGCTCTCCACAAAATTGCGCGACAACCGTTTGAGCCGTGCCACACAGCACTGCAGGTCCCTCACCCCACTGGCACCGGCAGCAGCAACACAGCTACCGGTTTGTACGACCAGCTTGGGAGCTTGGGAGCTAAAGTGTTGCCAAGGCTAGAAGCGAGCCAAACTTGCCTTGCACACGTGCTTGCGTGGGATTTTGCAAAGAGGTGCAAAGTTTCTTGTGGTGCGGGGATGGTTTCTAAGCACATGCGGCACGATGTTTAGCACGAGTCAGCCATGACAAAGCAATCTTTCATTGCGAGGCTGCTCGAATAAACTTATCATCAACCGTGTAACAAAGGTGACTTGCCCACAACGACGACGGAACTTTACTCTTTCATTAGTGTAATTGCCTGCAACAGCTTAAGATTTCGAAATTGCGGCAGCCAACAGCTGATCTTTCCACAGCTTACCAGGCTACAGGGAAGACTGTCCTCGCCCCGGGCAGCTTTGCAGGCACTGTGCACCTGCCCCGTTATACCATCTGAATCTAAAGCATGGTTCTAATCCTATGTCCTTGAAATCCCATGTCACCCCAAGGCGCGACCCTTGCAACCTGGGAGTCCCCAGCTCCTGTGGACAGACCAGCCTCGGATGCGCACCTCTACGCCTTAAGCTGACCATCTAGAGACATACAGCTGCGTGGCGGCCCTGAACCAGTCCAACTAACATGCGTCATTGTCCAGTCAGGTTATGCTCACTGTTTGCGGCCCAGCATCGTTGGAATGCGAAACAAAGGCCACGGGGCGTCGCGCCCGCGCGGCCTGGAACCTGCCAGGATTTGCGCCAACAATTACCCCATAATATTATGATAGTTTCCAATTTATTTCCCATTACCCTTATATAAGCCCAATAATACACCCATAATATACTACAACATACCCATGATGTAGAGTCATGCTTCCAACACAACTCTGCCGGCCACTTCTCTCAGCTCCACTTGCCCTAAAAGCTGGAGCCCTTTAACTCGGCATGCTATCTTCATAGTCCCCCTTAAGTAGATAGAATATACGGGTATATTGGGATAATGGAAAAGAAAATGGAAGCTACTATTTTGACACGCGCATCGCACAGCAGTGCAGGCACGAAATGATGCAGTTTAGACACGCGCATCGCGCAGTGCAGTGCAGCAGGCACGGCAGCAAATGTCCCGTCCGGTAACGCCAGCAATGATGTAGTTTAGGGTTTAGGGTTTAGGGTGTAGTTCCCCCTGAAGTAAGTAGATAGAATATGGCTTTGGGTATCTTATAATACTATCCCCTTATACTCCATATTCTATCTACATAAGCGGGACCATTATTGGCATGCTCAATTCTTAGCTGACTGTAGGGCCCCTACCCATGTCGGGGAACCTAAAACTGTAAGTCCGAAGAGCAAAGCTGAGACCAGCCCAGAATCACTGCTATCCGTTTAAACACTTCGATATCTGGAGGTCCCAAGGCGGAAACTCTCTAAACTGCCTGAGCTACCAAGCCATGCAACTGCATTTCTACACCTCACTTGTGGCATGTGACAGCACCCAAAGAAGAGAAGACGGCCCTATCTGTGACCTCAAAAACTCCAGGCTCTTCATGCATGCTGGCGCCTAGACAACTTGCTGGAGCCTCCCAGCAGATCAGGTCAAACCTTTCAGGGGATCAGCGTCCAAGATTCGCGGCGGAAGGCTCAACTTTGCAACTTTCTACAGGCGAACACCCACGCAGGGTGCCGCGTGAGACAGGCAACCCTCAGCGAGAAATGAAACTGATGAAGTCACCTTATAGACCCCTTTACACCCAAACTATGCCGTTTTTGCTTTGCCTTCTCTGGCAGCTCGATTGAGTGACAGAAGCACAACGGAATGCAAACTTGTGCCCCCCAAAAGCAACGACCTGAAAAGCTTGTAGTTCGCGGCCGGAGTCCTCTGATGAATCGGAAACCTGAAGGTCAGACCCAGTTCAGTCGGCCCAGGAAGATGTTTTTGCAGAGTTGCTCTCGCCAAGACCCATCGCAACTACTCCCCTCGTAGTCTTATTCTAATTACTTACTGCTGCTGCTACTGTTACTACCGCCAATACGGATAAGTGCTAGTACTGCTGATACTGAGAATACTGCTCATGCTGCTAATGCTACCATTGTCGCTTTTACCGTTGTTCCTACTGATTCTATTGCCATTACTATTCATACTATTGTTAGTACTCTGACTCTTACTCTTACTCCTGCTCTTACTCTTATTATTGCCAGTGCTAGGCATTGCCGTCGCAGTCACCATGACTCTGACCATTACCCTTACAATGACCAAATCTCTTGCCATTTCCAATGCCACAGTTATTGCTACTGTAATTACTAGTGCCAGTACTGCTATCATTATTGCTCTCACTGGTCACGGGTACTATCCTCAGGCCGCGGCGGGGCAACCTGTGACTGCTGCCTCTTCGGCATCCGATTCTGTCTCCGTTGCCATGGTGCTGACCTCAGCGCGCAGCCACCAAGGAAAGAGGGCCGTGGCATGTTTCTTGTCTAAAGCAGCTGTTTGCTCGACACAAGCCCCTCATGAAACCTTGTTGATCTTCAGCTGCGTTTGCCATTTGGCTAGATTTCACCAGTGCAGCAGTGGCAGCAGCAGATGCAGATGCGTGATTCACAGCCACACTGGCACATGCGAAAACTGCAAGCACAACTGCGGATTTGCAACAGACTTCATATTTGGAACTGCTCTCAGCACAGCTCGGCTGCAGAGCGTCGTATCCTCCTTCCCCTACCCAAAGCGCCCTCGACCCGTGCTCCGCTGCCCCAAGAGCCACGCAGAGCCACACCTGTCGGCACGGTAACCTCCCCACAATCTCCCAAGCCCTTGTCCGCAGGCCCGTAGACCTAGCACCCCCAGCCAGCCAACGACTGCTGTTCGTGCAGCTGGGTGACAGATGTGCTGGACATCGCCCGCCACTTGCCTTCATCCGCTGACTATGAATGCCGGGCTTGGGTGTGTGGGACTTGCTTGCAAATTAAACTGACCTCAGGTGCAAAAAAAAATAAGGCTTACCGTAAGATGATCGAGGCAGAGAGGGACGCTTGAGGGTAGGCAGTCGATGTAAGCAAGCATGCGCAGGCACCTTGAGTTGCAGGGGCTGCAAGCCATTGGCAATCCCACACTGTTCGCTGCGAGACCTGGCCAGGATGTTACCGAGCTCTGATGCTCTCAAGGGGCCACATGGGATGGCCATTCTGGCCTTGGATGAGCTGCACCTGCGGAAAGAGCAACTTCTGCAACACACAGACAAGAGCAAAAAAGCTGCAGGATGGCCTGGATTTCACAAGCCCAGTCCTCTCCGAAGGCAGCAGGTGCAGCAGCTCGGCCATGAGTTCAATCAGGGCCGGTGAGAAGCAGTCAACCTTGTCACAACAATCTGCAGCTCCATTCCTTCTTCCCTCCAGCGCCAGGATGCGGACAATGTCACTGCGGTGGAAGTATCGGCGAATGCCGTGGCCTCAGACATGAACAGCCCGGAGCAACGGCTTGCGCAGCACAGGGTGGTGCGCGATCTGAGTGCCACACAGCTCACCCAATCAAAAATCCGGGATCGTCCAGGCTTAGTCGACTGCCATGGATAATTTCCCACAGCCATGGCCTCCAAAAAGCCACGGTCATCGTGCTTGAGACGTGCAGTCTTGACCAGTGCTTGCCGCAGTAAGGGCTTAAACATCTATTCTGCTGCAATTGATCCTGAATCCTGCATTGGGCAATGCTGGCCACACTGTCTTCATTACAAACCTGTTTGACAGCCGGATCCTAGGTCCGGCATAGTCCAAGGCTCCGGCATAGACCACAACCCCTAGTGCAAATGAATCTGCTTGGAAGCCATCATACTCGCCTTGGAGCGCAGGCGGCCTCTCTCTTTTCATGATAGAACCTCTCAAAAAAAAGGTCTACTTCACCTCATCCTTCTTCAATAGCTGACCTTACCTCAATTGAGCAATGCGATCGGCTCGAGGTAGCCATGTTATCACGTTTCCCTCCTCATCCCCAACTTCCTCAAAGCCGGCGTCCAAAGCGTTTGGTCTCGGCTCTGCTGCACCAAGAACCCGACGGCGCAGATGGAGCTCTGGAGCTTGATACGAAGGTTTTCCTGGCATTCACTTTCCAAGCCAGTCAAGGCCTTGAGAGCTGCATGGCGCTGGTAGACACACCACGCCGCAGGCATTGGAAGTGGAATGCAGGCTGTGATCAAAGGCCTGGCCCCAGTGATGTCACGGCCGGGCAGACGCGACCAACATAGGCCTGCAGCAAATTTGATCAAGCTGCCCTCTCCCCGCCAGCCCCCCTATAAACGGTCAGAAAGCCCTCCAAAAAGGCCGTTTTGCGCCTTGCCCCTATTAACCAGCTCACTACATTCGGGTATATGAAAGCTGCCTCTCACGGGGAGCCTTCGTGACAAGCAGAAGGGAAAAAACAAAAAGCCAGAAGTAGAAAGCAAAAACCAGACAGCAAAACAAAAGCAGAAAGCAAGAAGCAGAAAGCCCGAGCGAAGAGCAGAGCAAGACGTAGAAAACGAGAAGCCGGATACAAACAGCAAGAAACTGTAAGCAAAAATGGAAACCAGCAAGCCACAGAAAACAAAAAGGAGACTCCCCTCGTAAAGGCTGTGACTACAAGATTTACACAAAGGCAAAGGAACTGCGAAGCATATAATGCCAACAAAATATATCAATAACAATATACTAGTAATGACACTGATAATGATAATAATAATAATTTTCGGACAGGTGGCCATTCCAAAGTCTATGAGCTTCACGGTGTTCGGCGCATCGGAGCTCGGCCCTGAATCAGGGCTCGGACTGACAAATACATTATAGTGATATATCAGTCTTATGAATGTTGCTATTATTATGCCGACTATGATGACCATCATAATTATGAGTACTCTTGTTACAATGATTACTACTATTACTATTTTGAACTTTGCTATTATTACTATATGTTCACGGCCCATAGGTGCCAAGTGACCTGTCAGCAAGATGTTCTCTAGCGACAGGTCTCGATGCGCTACTCCCAGCCTCAGCATGGGGAGAGTGACTCTGCAAACAAGGAGCGCTGACATCAATGACAACATGGCTGGCCATGGGACGCAAATGGTTCAGGGCCCGCGCGAATGCAGCCACTCTACCGCACTGAATGTCTGGGCCACTAATGGCAACATCTCCGCCTGCAAACAAATCGTTTATGAACGATGATGATTGGGGCTGCTATGTTCAAAGACCCTGGGCCCTATGTCTGAAGCACTGGCCTCTCGATCTGGGGTCGGACGCGGACGGTTTTCGCACCAAGCAAACAGGTCGCCTGACTGCCCGCCCTTAGACGCAGCCCACATGCAGAGACCCTATTCGCGCAAACCATGCCTCCAGTGGCCAGTGTTGTGACTGCCTGCAACCCACGAGAAAGGTCGTAAAACATCATGAAGCTCAAGCGTCTCAGCATTGGTTCTCTTTGCACTTTTGCAGGGCTCGGGAGACTCAGGCTCAGACATATGTGTGAGCTTCATCTCTGAAAACACCCAACAACTCGCAAGTCGCAGCATAGCCCTGCGGCGGCTGGATTGCTGACATCTCGCCTCAAGGCGCTTGCACGACCAAGTCGATGGGCCTTCTTCTTGAGTTCGGCCAGCATGCCAATGTTGCGCCACGGGTTCTCACACTCAGAGGGATGCTTTCCCGCAAACTCTTCGGGACCTGATCGAATCCAACCTCAGGGCAGGAGCAATCCATTCTTTCTCCCAATGTTCAAGGGCTTTCAGCGAAGCAGCTGTTCGGCATTCTCTTGACGGCCTTGGCTCTTGCATACTACGCTGGCGATCTTGCTGCGCAACTTCCGTAGCAGATGTGCTGAAGATGCAAGCCAAGCAGCCACAGGCAGCTGCTCACCTTCATCGGTTTCCATCATGTCCTCATCTTGGGGCCAAACGAAAACTAAACTCCATAATTTGTCCATAATGGCCCTGCAGCCTCAACTATAAAACGCTGACAAGCAGCCACCCGCCCGTGGTTCCGAGCTGCATCCTCCAACTTTTTCACAAAGCGAAAGCTGCCACACCTGTCCAACTTGTACAGCTTAGGCTTGACCTGTTTAGGTTTTGACATGGATTTGGGGAAGAGTTTTCGGCTTGGGCTCTCACTCCCAGGGCGCAACGGTGGATGCAAGGGTATGCATCGACTCGAACAAGTCGTTGGCAGTCACTTCCTATGCCAGTCTGGTCACCTGCTTCCAATGTCGTATGCGAGTCTCAGGCCTCCATCACACCGAAAGCACCTGGCGTTGGGATGGAAGGGGGTGTTGTTCAGGAATTGCGGAAATGGTAGGAAATGGATGATGGGGATTGCATCATGTCTAGCGTAAGAAAACCCACAGCCAGGCCTTGAGCCATTCTGCCGCGAAGCTCTGACAGGGAGGCTCTACCCTGGAGGTCAGACGCCCCCTGTTCTTTAGTCCTCGTGACGTGAAGATGCTGGCTTCTGCTTCTAACTGTAAAGGAGCAGCATATGCATAAGAAATCTCTTCGAGCCATGGCAGCACAAATAGACCAAAACGGCAAAGAAGTCCGCAACACACCTTGCAATAAAGCCTGAAAAGCCCTGGGGCAGCTTACAGCTGGCACGGTAAACGTTGCAAAAAGTCAGCGCAAACAAAGCACCTTGCGCTTTTGCAGCAGACGGTGAGCACTGTCAAGCCTGGACCACGCTGGGCGCAGCACCACGGCCGGGCTTTCTCTTCTGGCTAGCGGCCCACACTGCCGCTTTGAGCTGCGCATCGACTGAAGCGTGGCCCGAGGAAGCTCATGTGCGAAGACAAGCAGTGCTTGGTGGTCTTGAACTTGCCCCAGACAAGAATGCACGCACCACGCGCGCAGAACAGCTCGGTGATGGAGCAGGCCCTATGGTCGACTCGTTTGGGCTTTTCGCTCTTCACTCTTTCGTGTCACCTCGTCCAGTAGGGCTGTTTGCCTGCCACAGGACTCTAATTAACCATTTTCAAAGCTATGCAGTAAAGCAGCTCCCAGCCACGATCCTGAAAAGGGACACCACCTTCCCGAACGCTTGCGCCTGCGCCTTCGAGCACAAACATCTTTACATCCAAATTTCCCTTCCTTGCTTGTGCCTTGTTCCTGTGAACGTCGCTGCCGCTCGGCCATCACTGCTTGTTGTCGGCGGTTAAAGTCCTGGCAGCTGCCAAGAGTCCGCACTCTCACACAGTCGCTGTCAAGTCGCCTCAATGGCTGGGTAAAAGATGTAGTAGCCGCCCCCCACACCAACTACGGCTGTTGCCAACAACTCCTGAGCGAAGCCAGCCAGGTTACAAGGAAGTATTTTTCAGTGCTTCCCGGTTGTCTTGGCTGCTCTTGTTGCTCGAGAGCACGAAATTGAAAATTAGCCCTGAAAGTGCAATGGTCAAGATGCAGCAACTTGCTTTCCTGCTGAGATGGGCACGGGGATCGTGATTCCATGAAAAAGGGCTCGCCACGACATCCCTGTCTAGCACTCCTTGAACCTCTAAGCTGCTCACAAAGCATTCCGGCAGCTGGCTTGCTTCTGCGCAACATGCAGGAATAGCCTGAAAATACTTTGAGCATGGCGATCATCAGACTAATTGTATGGACTTTTCGGCGTGGCGCCTGGAAGTCTGAATCGCCTTCGGATGAAGGTTGTTAGCGGTCATTGTTGCTCAACGTGCAAGTGACGCAGTGACACCAAGAGGCATGACACAAGCTCTCTTGCATGCTCGCAATTGGTACCACCCAGCTGCGGCATCTAAACGCTCCACGTAGCGCCGACCCAGTGCATAGAATGCTTGCTCATGTGGACAACTGGACATGTTGCAGCATAGTTGTGGTGCTTGTAATCACAGGCGCTTTCCTGTAGCCAGGCAGATGACAACCGCATCAAAACCGAATGAAACACCCAAAGAAACATACACAACGATGTTGGGCGTGTTCTGAGAGCCCAAAATTGAGTCGTCTCCCATTCAAACCCCTCTCCAAGCTTAGGAGAGAGGGTGGCACAAGGGCATTGACGAATGGGCACGATTGAACGCTCAGCTTAGATAAACCAGACGTCATTTCTCCTGATGAACCGTGCTGCGTGCATTACCGACTCCTCAAGACTGCTGAGCGTAGGGGGCACAGTTGCCTCCTTGGCACAGTGCACGTGAGATGTGGATAAAGGCATGAGGCTACACAAATACTGGAGTGCCTAGATACAGAAGTAGACTATCACACACACATGCTGACTTCACAAATTCTGGATCGGCATCCTTCGAGGAATGCTTCTTGATCCCGTGATCCGCTAGCTACGCCGCAGCTGCCACTGAGCCAGGCCCGAATTGAATAGGGGGTCCTTCACTACCTTGCTTCAGCTACAAGACGTCTACATTGACCTGATGGTCAAAAGAATCCTTCAGCTTCAGTATCAATCTTTTGCTCAAGTCAGCAGTAGCATAGCAGGACATTGCACATCTGCTTCAATCCAGCACGATGTGCGGGGACGAAAAACGGCAGAACTCGTCCGAGGTGAAGAGGCTCTGGAACTTAAGACCAGCCATCAGTACATGAACCTACAAGGACACAAATTGCATGACCTTGTCTCCCTGGCCTTTACACCAGCAAACGCCAAGCTAAATCGCGTGGAGCAGTCACTGATTCCAGAAAAAATCGAGATGCAGCACCCTGAGAGCCATCCAGCCCTTTTCTAGAATTGGGCGGTGTGCTCACCAACCGCTGCTGGCAGAGGTGTTCGCTGTGGCCAGACAAAGGGCAGCACACAGTTCTAGAGCCGTGTGGAGAGCGGCATCTGCCTGCTTTGCGCCTCAGGGCGTACTCCTGACTGCAGCAGCGGCCGGGTTAGATAAGGCTAGCCTTCTTTCATGACAACTCTGAAACGACAGCGGGTGCTTTCCTACTGCTTGGTGCGGATAAAACAGAACAGCACCTAACCTGACAAGTTGAGAATACATTCAGACAAGCTTGGCTCTGTCACTCCTGTAGCAACCAGATCATCTCTCTGGCATAAACAGGGTGCGGTGCAGCAAGTACGGTCAGGCTGATCAAACAGCACAAGGCACATGCAAAGACCAAGCAAAACTTGCTGCTTAGTGCTAGATCGCACAAAATCCTTCGAACAACTTTGCCCCAGCCGACCGCAAAAAACACGAGTCGCACATCTTCTGAGCGACAAGACCCGTTTTAGCAGTAACTTTCCTAGGCAGGCCTACCTGTCACAAAACAGCGCATGCCCTTGTTGTTGCAGGATCCCACTGCACTGCCCACGCTGTCTGGGATCTTGGAATGTTGACTGTCTAGTTGAACCCGTGGGCAGCCGTGAGCCTGGCTTATAACGCTGCTCTCGGAGCTTTGGCCGTATGAAAGCTCTTGTAGTAGGGCAGTTCCAAACAGCAACTCTGTTCAAGCTGAGTTCGGATTCGTGCCGCTTGCTGCTGACCGCGTACACTAGGCTACTGCTTGGTTATGTCCATGCGACTGTACCATGACTACTGCATCAGCAGCAAAATTCGACTGAACAAGCAAACTTTAGCACATACACTCACATCGGAGAGCGTGACAATGCTGTCAGGTCGGAGCGCAGAGACGAATCTGTCCTGCTATCGACTTTGCACATTGCTTAGAGCTTCAAATATTGCATGCCACAAAAATGGCTGCTGGCCTAGAGCGCTGCCCCATTGCACTTGATAATGTTGCTGGCCTGATTTGGCAGGACGGCTTTGTCCATCAGGTATGCTTGGACGTGCTTTCATCCAGCAAGTCTCCGGCCTTCATCGTGCGGGCCTGCCCAACTGGCGCATTCCGCAAACGCTCAGTGCTCTAGGTGCGGGGAGAAACAGGAAGCAATTTGGGCGTAATGGAAATTTCTGGAAACCACTTTTCCCAGCCTGTAACTGGAACTGTTGGTGACGGTAACAGAACCACCGCGGGCACGTAACCGAAATCACAATGGGAAGGAACTAAAACCGAAACCATAACAGGAGTCCGGGGCCAAAACCTCGCAAATGCGGGCAACCGACATGTTTTTTCGAAACTTTCTTGTATCTCGTTCTAAGTCCATCCACACTGCCTCGAGTGCACTACTATCACTTCAGCTTCTACTCAATCTCCTCCTAGTACCACCACCGCCGCCACCACTGCCGCTGCCGCTGCCGCTGCCGCTCCTCCTCCTCCTCCTCCTCCTGCTCCGCCTCCTACTACTACTACTACTACTACTGCCACCACTACTACTACTACTACTACTACTGGTTTGAGGCTGTTTATGATAGGAAGCCAGAAATGCGCCAATGCAATTCTCGAATAGCGATGACCGGATGCATGTAGATGGGGGACCGAAAATCGATCCCCTTCCAGCAAGAAAGTCCTAGGTCCCCGTTTGGAGACCCGGCACATTAGGGGAGGGAAGGAAGGTTGCCCCTGAACTAGCCAGGACTGGTGGAGAGGCCCAGACAGTGTGGATGGACTTTCACATGTTATAGTACCCCTTAAGTAGATAGGACATATGGTAACTTACTATGGTTTTGAGAATTCCATAGTCTATCAAGTTTAGGGATACTGTAGCTAGAAGTGTGTGCATTACCCCAAGAATGGAGAATAAAGTTGATGAGAGCATTAAAAAAGAAATGAAAGACTGGGACGATGTAGGGGTTTATAGGCTGATGGGCTTCTCAAACTTTGAGGTACTTTTTTCTCTCTGCGGAGTACCTATAGTCTCGAATGTTTTGGGGTCTATGTATCGGGGTACCAACACTCAGGAAAAGGGTTTCGGGGCATACAGTACTTATGTAAGGGCAATAATACTATTACAGAAGAACAGGTTCGGGGGGATATCAAGTTTGAACTCCGAAAGCTCAGGTTTGTTGGGCGTCTTAGTTTGGGGGAGAGTACCTAAAACTTTGACGCGCGTGCCCTAAGTATAGGTTCTGGGTTAGCTGGGGCCAGAATATGAAGTAACAAGTTTGGACGCATGCGCGGCCTTTCTGAATCCCAGGCTGGTTCACGTTACGCTGGTTCCTGTTATGGAACCTGCCCTGGTTCCCGCATTCCACCAGTGCTCTATCATGCCTATGCACAGCCCCCGCAGGCTGCATGGCTACGCACAAACTCATAGTGATCCAAGCAGAGATACGCAATTATCGAAGCGTTCACAAACCGGATCGTTAAACAGAACCCAACAACATCCAACTGTACTTTTTCAGCCAGGCCTTGCAGGCATTTCTTCGCGCCTCCCAGATAAGATGTGGCTTAGCCTGTTTTAAGCGACATCCGGAGATCAACATCATTGTGGCCTGGAGCCAGAGACGCCGCGCTGCAGCAGAAGCTACCTCTGTACCACCCCATGCATCCCAGGTTATGGTGAGATGGTATGCCAGGCAAAAATCATAACAACCGCGATACATACTTGAAATATAAGAACATGAACAGCAATAATAATCTAAAGGAAAAAGATGAACATGTGCGTGAATATGGTCGGCTCAGTCTCAGGCCTTCTTGTGCGTGGACATGGTCAAGTACTGCCGGTGCCATGGCCTTCAGCCATCTCAGTTTGGGTAGGCATGTTACAAAAACACTGGCAGTTTTCTAGAATGTCACATACTCTTGGGCTAGGGTATTGACTTGCCTATCAATCAGGCGTTTCCCTACCCAGCCCAGAGGAAGGGGCATCCAACCCTCAAGTAAGAATGACTGACAAAGGGAGAAAACACCTTTACTCTCAACTAGAAACGAACCCTGATCATCGAAAGGACTATGTCTCTCACCACTGACCCTCACCTGGGACCCAGGCAGGGCTTGCACTTTGCCTGCCCGAGCGAGCAAACTGACCTGATGCCGCCACAGACTTGTCAGAATCAAAGCTACTGGAGCTCAAACGCTAAGGAAGTGGCCTTGCTGTTCCTGCAGCGGAAACTACGGCGCACTCGCTTCCGACCTTTGTCAAGGCAGCACATCAACAGCAGACCTGTTGCAATCGGTCTTGCCCTGCAGACGAGCTCCGAGCTCACACGCCTGATAACTGGCGCAGCCGGCGGTTCGCTTTCGGGCTGATCGTCAATCAGCTCTGTCGCCTGGAAACACCAGGCCTAACTGCTGCAGCAAATTGCGCAGCCAGTCTCTTGAACACAAGAACCACTGTCACCCCTTCTCCCTCCAACGTATGTGAGGCTTGACGGGAGAAAGGTCTTCAGGGATACTTACTGCATTGAGTTCTCCCGGAGCCTGAGATTCAAGCGGGCATTTGCTGGAAGTCTCTTGGAATTCTATTCGGGGACTTTTCTTCTGCATTACTGGCCCTCAATGGCCTCTACACCCCTCAAGCCTCTAGCTCTTGGCCTCAAAGCTGGAGGCTTGACTGAAAGCCCTGCTCATTTAGATAGAAGCTTGGCCCCAAATCTATAGCCGCTTGAAAGCACCGACAGCTTCAATGCGCAAAAAGTCCGGCACTACTTCATCTGTTCATCTGGTCTAGGCATCACGCACTGCCATCCTGGACCCCAACGCGCGCTTCGGTCCTCGGCTGCATGACTGCAGCATGTTAGGATAAGTTGGACTCATGCTTGCAGGAAGAATCATTGTGTAATTTGGAGGCATCTCAGAGTCTGGCAAGTTGGAGTTTTCCTTCTCCATACCTGGAGCAGGCGAAAGCTTGTGGGCACCGTCACTTGCTGGGAGGATGTGTCCAATTTCCAGAAGGTTTTGCACAAAAGCAGCTGAATTGGGCCTTCATCCTCAACCTCAGCGCTTCAAATAGCCGTGCTCACCGAGACCACGATGCATGAAGAGGCCCAGGCAGTGTCAGTAGAAACAACCTCCACTGTCCCCTGCACCTTGGCAGAATCAGACTTGACTTGCATAAGGAGCGAACTCATAAGCAGAATCTGGGGCTGCGTGCAGCTGCGAAGGATCCGCCTAATGCGGATGTGTCAGCAGCTCGTGCTTCCAGCTGCAATCCTGGATGCGTTGGAGCTGGAGATGTCGCGTTTGATGGCTAAGGCCAAGACCCCAAGCTTCTGTATAACTGTAGCAGGCATCGACCTGGTGACGCCGGGAACTCGAAGGCGACGGAAGCAATCAGAAGCTGCACAACTGCTTTCTGTACGTTCACTCTGCTTGGAGTCGGGCCCAGCTCGGATGGCCAGCAAGACCTTCAGGCAGAAGACCCTAAACTAAACCCTTCGAAAGTATCACAAAGCACCCGTTTGAGCACCAGACCCTCGAACACTTGTGAGCACAAGTCAAGTTCCTGCGCAAGCTGGTCAACCTCAAGATGAATGAAGAAGCCAAAGGTTCATCTCAAATGTGACTGTATCTTCTATTGATTTTAAGATCGAGACTCCCGGCTGCTCCAAGAACTTCAGGCACTTTACGCAAGCCAGCTCCACGTCCTTTGAAGATTGAAGAAGGGCAGGTCTGGATAGCTGCGCATTGTCCCCCCTCTGCCCCTGTAGCTGTGCTAGGCCGATCCTGGGCTGCCATCATCGCTGCCACTCGCCTCAGCTAACGCGCGGAGTGAGCACCCAAAAAGATCACGGTTCTGCTATTACTGCTCTGCCTTTTTGACTCTCTCCGCGACCAAGTGGCTCTTGCCACCCATCGCCAATCGAGATGAGGCTGCTTGGGCCCTTCTTCCCGGCAGCATCAAACCTTAGACCGAAGAAGGAGAAGCCCTCCAGCTTTCAACGCCACAGCAGCAAGTCACAGCAGCAAGTCACAGCAAGTCCTTCTGAGACCCTGGCGTGAAGCAGTCCACGATGCGGCGGAAGCACAAGACCTGCCAGTCGGGCGGAGCTGACCCAAGCACTGAATCCCTGTCCTTCCCTGTCCTTCCCTAGCCTGGATTTGACAATTATGAATGGCCTAGATCTGCCTCTAAACAAGATGCGCAAAGGCTCCATCCATGCTACCTGCCTTCCAGCGGTACGGCTCCTGGACGCCGAGGGGCTCAAAGATTGAGCGGGCGCTGACCACCGGGATGTCTTCCAGCTCACCTTGAGCTTTGCTCTGCTGTCAGCTTGCTGCTCCAGCTGATTGGAAGCCAGTTCTCTTCTTGCATTTGTTTTGAATAGCGGACGCGTGCTGACTGCCTGGGCTCTGGCTCAAAAGGGCAGGCATGAAACGCACTGCCGTTTCGTGCACCCAGCCAAAGCCCGAGTTTGTGATGATGATCACCTGGTCGTGGTCTCAAGCATGGAAACAAGGAACATCACATGCGTTGCGCTTGCAAGTAACTCACCGAACAAGACGGTTTTCAAGAGGTGCTTAGCCTGAACCTCGCTATGAAGCTTAAAGCGCACCATTTTCGAGTTCAGTCTTCATAGAAACGCAAGGATGTCTTCAAAGCTGGCACGCGTAGGCATGCTACAGCCCTGAGAATTACGAGCTGAATTAGCTTGTGAGTATGCCTGTCGATGCCGCATCGTAGGCGGCATTGATGCAGCGAGGAGGCATGCTGGCAAGGGCATTGCGTCCTCCGATGCGCTCTTCATGTCCTTGATCAATCTGAGGATATCGGCGATATTGGCCTGCATCTTCCCTGAATGAGCGCGCGCCTCCTTGATGTAACTGGCCACATCAGCCATTCGGTCTCCCTTCTCGGCAAGGATAGCACCAGCGTTTGCCAGCTCATCAGCGGAATGCCTCACCGTCCTCAAGCTTCGTCCCAGGTTGTCCAGCAAGCTGCTAGCCCTGTCCACGCGCTCTGTTGGGTCCGTGGGGATGTTCTGACCGAGATCCGTGTGGCTAAGGTCTGGCGGCTTGGCCACAAAGCTTGAGAGCGGAGTCGCAAACAAGCCCCTCATGGCAGGCCACAGCCAACTCTACCAAGACAAACCATAAACATCCATAAACCGCACTTCGCAATTTAGCGTGCATCCTCCTTAGACTCTAGAACAGTCGACGTGCAACTCTGCATGGACCACCTTGTCCACTCATTGAGCCAGACAGCACTGGCAAGTGGCAAAATGATGCATGTCAACGAAAACAACAAAGGGAGCGCTTGCTGATACAAAACAGCCTGTGATAGAAACAAATTTCCTTCTACTGGTGGAGAATCCAACAAGAATATGAAGTAGAAAATCTTTGCCAGACAATCCCCGTCGGCGCACCCGGCCGAACTGCTTGGCCTCTGCAGGCCGGAGCTCAAAGCATGCAGGGCATGGACTAAGGAAAAGTCGGGATTTTCTACTCCTCCTCAATCCGCGCCCGCCTTCTGCAAGGCTTGAAGAGCCGCAACCCCACATGCCTCCAGGTAGGAGTCAAAGTCCTGGCCCGGAAGCTTTGCCTACGCAGCCTGACCCCTAGCAGCCCTAGCAAACTGGGAAAAAATGTGGAAAATGCGTGTGCGAATTCAAAGACTCGCCGGCCGCACCCAGTCACTGAGCAGCGACGAGGCCCGGGCACCACTGGTGGCTGCTTCGCCGCAATTCCCAGGCGCCGGCCTCAGCCACTCCTCCCCCATATCCTCGCCGCTGCTTGTGGAGATATCACATCTACAAAAATGCTGAGGATGTTACGCAATGCGCTTGGCTGCGACCAAGGCAGCCGTGGGAAGTATGGTATCATCCTCAAGTCGACCAGACAAACATGAGATATTTTGAAATTCAGGTGAAGAGGCCACACAAAGGCAGCTGCCCAGTCAAATACCACCAAGGAAGAAGGGACACCGCTATCCTGCACATACTTAACCGGACGCCGCTGACTCAATCACGTGAAGTGTTGCACCGCCAGGGGGCCTTGTTGTGAACCCAAGGTCGTGCAACAACAGCCTCAAACCAAAGTGTCAAATCCACACTACCCTATCTGCGCACTACAGCTCGCACTCATAAAACCCCATTGCCCACATATGCCCACATGCACACTGAAGCGCACAGGCGGTTGCCAAGCCCTATTTTCCCTTTCCGCTTCTTTTCTGAGATGCAAGCCTTGACCTCAGGCCACAAAGAAGCACAGCACAGGGTATACCTCAGCCCTGCCTGGCAATGCAATGCCAAGTGTCCTGCAGCTTCCCAAAGCTCTTCTCCTTGAGGAGGCTTGATCGCCTGAGCGAGCATCAGGCGCAGGGGCACCATGACCACCATTGTCCCATCCAGTTCGCTAGATCTGGCACCTGAGTCAACGGGACGGTGGGTGCGCCAGCATTAGGAGCTGCTGGTTCCGGCACTCCTGCATGGGTCAATTAGCACGGTGAATGATGACTTTCAGGACGACAACGGGCGAACGGGTCCTACAGGCAAAATCTCAGGAGGTGGGCATGCTGCCTCGGTGAGCAGGGGACACATTTGGCAGACCGCCAAAAAAAGGGCCTCTAACACCCAGAGAGCCAGACCACCGTTGCCATTTTGCTCGCGCGTGCTCCTCGGGTTGGAGAAATTGACTGACTCTCTTTGCCTGGAAGTCTCCATGTACTTGCGCAACTGAGGGTGCAGCGTGGAATCTGCAAGTGCTTGCAGCAGCAGGCTTCTTCAGGGCCTCTGGCGTGGCGGAACAATACGCGTTCACAGAATGCCGAGTTCCAGCAAAAGCTGTGTGTGCCTGGTGGTCAGCCCCCCTGCATCCAGACTCAACGTATTCGGCGTCACTGGGATCCACGCAATACGAGCAGTATGTCCAAGGAGCGGATGGGTTTCCTCGGAAAAGATTGCAAATGAAGAGGCCTCTGTGCCTTCTAAATCCTGCTGCAAAAGCAGGCTTCGCAAACACCTGGTGCACTTGCATGCAGCAAATGCAGCAAAGCATCTGGCTTGGAGCCCCAGGCTCGCTGCGCCGGGGCTGCTACCAGAAGTACAAATCAACGTGAACGTGTTTTTGAGCCTATCCAAGAGGAAGAAAACGTTGCGGGCTGACAGCTTGCAGCGAGGCTCTCACTCAAACTGATACAAGTACCATCAAGTACCGGTAGTACAGTGGCACTGCCTTTCCTTGCCACATCCCTTCACCACCTTGTGAGGAATTGACATCCTGACACTGCGACGTGCTGCGACGGCTGGAGGACGCACTGGCCGTCGTCGGCCGCAAATCTGAAGCTACTGAAAAGACGTAGCACCCCAGGCAAAGCGAACCATGCTGTGCATGGAGTCAATTAAACCGGAGGAAGCTCTGAGCATTCTTTTTTGGGCTTAGTCCTGAAGTTCTTCTTGGCCTAAATGCTCACAGCTTACCCTTGCCCTGCTTTCACTTGGTGAGTTTGGGCTCACAAAGAGTTGAATAACTCCTGGGCAGGCCCAGGGCAAGCTTCCCGATGCAAGCATGGCGGCAAAGCAAGCGAAGGCGTCCTGAAAAAGAAGCCAGGCACTGCCAGCACAGAAGATGACATAGATCCCAGGAGTCATAAACCTCCGGTGCATGGAGACAACCACTACTACAGTTGAATGTGAGATCATTCGCCCGCTCTTCTGCTTTAGCAGCTCGAGGCCATGACAGAGATGATGACAAGTTCATTGCGTCTTGCACCTCAAGCCCCGTGACGAGGAGGGTGTTTGGACTGAACTGCTGCCTTTCAACCTGAAGCTCCACTGAGTGACCGGCCATGCCATGCGGACTGCAGCAGCCTTTTCTCCATGCGCTATATGCTGTTTGTGGAGCATCTGCTGCATGCTGGCTGAGGCTGCAGACATTTTGCCATCGAAAGTCCTCCGAGTGCAACACCTGGGCACGAGCATGCAACACTTTCGACAGTAGCCCCTAGGGAGAGTGAACCGACTGCCGGCGCACAGAAAGCAAGCAAGTGAGGTTGCCGTGAGCGGTGCGCCAACCTTGGACAACAAACTCATTCAAACTGATCGTAACTAATCCTTCTCAAAGGAGCGCATCCAGTGCAGCAGCTGGGGCACATGGCCAGAAGTTGACAAGCTGGGCACAGGCAAGAGCCAAGATCGGCAGCCCCACCTTGTCAGGAACTTCTGAGACTCAGCGAAGCTTAGCAAATCATGAAACCTGCAAGCCGATGGAGGCCACGCGCCACCAGGTTGCTGCTGCCCAGGAGGAGGCGGCCTAAGCGCAATGAAGAGGCTGCGTGGGCTCTGTGGGCTTTGGGGATGGTGCATTCTTGAGGACATCGCCCAATTGCCCAAAGCCAAGCCGATCCAAACTTCGAGCACCTGCGACGTCTTCCAAGGTTGCGTCTCGGGTAATAGCTCAGTACAATTGCTGTTTGCCCTGCCTCAGGCCCAGAACTCTTTGAAGCTGGTTGAGCCTTGCAAAAAAAATTAGCCGTGCTGCTCTCTATATCTCCTCCCTCCAGGAACAGGGCTTCTGGACACTCAGTACACAGCACCACTTGCAAGAGCTTTCGAGCTGCGGGCACCAAAGAAGCTCGTCAGCAGCTTGTGGCGAACACATGCCATGACGACGGCCGCAGTCACCTGGCCAAGCACACAAAAAAATACAGCTTCGAGTCACTCGACCCTGCGTGTCCTGGAAGCCACGTCCAGGCTTGAATCCCAAAGTCGGTCCCAGCATTTGCCAGCACAACGTATCTTCTTCTCTACTTTTGTAGGGGCTTCGTTCCAAATGGCCGCGTCGAGCTTGGATGAGCTTGGGGGGAAAAAGCAATTCCGCTCTCGCTCGCACTTGAAACATCTGAATGTCAGAAGATGCGTGGCGCACCACATGAGCCAAGACAGCAGCCCATCTGTATGAGAGCGGTCCTGCCAAGCTCGTCATGATTCACAGCATGACCCGTTGTCACCAAACACGGAGCAAGCAGGATTTCACTCCGAGCGTCCATACGTGCCCCAGTTCTCAAAGAGAAAGACCTTGATGCATGCTGAGATCTGAAACATGCTCAAAAACCGAAGCCTTGCATCCAGGTGGCCGGAGCTAGCTGAGCGAGGGCAGCTGAAAGGCCCAAAGCCTGGTGGAAGCTGTCAAGGTATTCATAGGACGTCGAAAGTTGAAAGGCACGCTCACGCAAGACGCAAGGCCTCCTCTAAGCTCAGTTGAAGCGTGCTGCCTAAAATACTCCTCTCCATGCACACCTGGCATAGCGATCACGCCACATGAACACCGAGGACAAAACGGTGACAATGAGGTACCAGAAAACAGCTGCTCCACTTTACTCAAAGAGATGCGAGTAGCAGCCAGTTGACTGGTATTGCAGGATCTCTTGAGAGAATGGGATCTCCTCCATCTTCGGTGCGCTTTTAAGTCAATGGCAGCCTAAGCCTCAAATTCGAAAATAGAGATCAACATGCTCCATCCCGCTTCATAAGCAATGCTAGAGAGACAATGCCATGCTTCCAGTCCCCGCGAGAGGTCTCCAACATGCTCTGCGTCTGAACCTGGCATGTTTTGGAGGTGATTCATGTTTTGCTTGCGTCTTTGTCTAGAGCTGGCTCAAACCATCCAGTTTAGTGTTCAGGGTGACGCGCCCAGTTATCAAATATGAAATCTTGGGTTCGTGTAGAACAAATAGCCTCAAGTAACCGTGATCTGCGCAAATACCCGGAAAAAGTGCCAATCATGCCCAACATGGCCATGTCTTCCGCATGCCGCCAAAGATGCAGTGACGTCCCAGTCACCACAGCCTCGGCTGCTAATCAATCTGAGGGAAGACTTCCTTCAACATTGCCAGACAAGGTCGCTGCTGTTAAGACCGCTGGTGCGACAGCTTCTCCCTGTAGGCGCTGCGCAAGTCCAAGCAGCCTTCGATACTTCATGCATGAATACACTGAAGAGATCTGAAGAGTTAGTCAGCCATGCAAACATCTGGGCACCCTGCAAGTGCCGTAGTGCGTAGACCACGAAAAAGCACACCGCAAGCATGAGCAAAAACCTCACTGAGCCAACTAGCATGCAAGCTGCAAGACCAAATTCATTCGCTGCTACTTGCAAACGCCAACCTTCCTCCTGCCAACTACGTCCCTTTTTCACGCCTTGCCCGTTTCTGGTAATGCCTTCTCACGCCATCGGAATGCGCTGCGTGCCACTGGAGAGTAGGCCCATGAGGAAAGGTCAGCCACACGGGCAGGAAGTGACGGCTGCCTGGATAAGTAGGATGGAGGGATCACAGAGCTCAAGTACTGTGCTTGCCGGACCAGCTCATCCGTGCCAAGAAGAGCGGCTGTAGCCATGTCTGCAAAGGAACTAGCAGCCGCCACCATGGCTCTTAGAGCCGCATCCAAATCACCACCTGCTGCAATAAGACCCAATCGGTCTGCAGAAAAGACTTCGGCCCTAGCTTTGGCTGCCCATAAACCCAAGCCCCAACTGCTCAGTCGCAAACACCGTCGGATGTGGCGCTCCTCCTGGGGAGGCAAGGAGAAAATCTCAGCTAACAGCCGTGGTGTCACGGACCCAGCCACCGCGGCTCCCAAGGCCCAGGCACCTCCTGGCGCCTTTAGCCTTGAGCAAACTGCAGCAACAGCGAACAGACCGTCCTCTCCATGCTGTGGCAGCACACGACGTCCAGGGCCCCACATGTTATCCACATCCAGGTCAGCAAGCCCAGGCCAACGGCCCGACCGCAGACCCCTGTAGACATCGCACATGTCAGCCATCGCATCTATGGCTCGACGGAACTGCACATGTCGTTGGATCTCATCAGGGCTCTTTTTGGGCTGAGGACGCTCCAGCGGGCGCAGCCCGAGGACATGCAGTGGAAGCAGAAACATTTTGCGAATGAAGTGCTTGAGTGTCCATGCAGCCACCACATCTCCATGGTGGAGCCAAGAGCGGCCTATCTCACGGCCAACCACGAAGCGCAGCCCTGCGTCAGGGAGCTGTCCGACCAGAGCATCCGTGACAACGAGCACGCGGCGTCGCCCGAATCGGGACGGCAAGATCGTCGCATGCGGGCGGCTGCTGTGAACCAAGAGTGACTCCGGGCAGGGCTTCCGAACTTGGAATAGATTCTGCATGGTTCGGCAGCTTTGCTGGGAAGCCCGGTCCAATGCCTTCGTCACATCAGCAATCAATAGGTACGATGCCAAGATTCTGCGAAAGTGCTACGGAGCATCTGAACTACTGTCATACCTGGCTCTGCTTCCAACGTGCAAAATGCCGGAATGCCCACAGCCTCATGCAAGTTCAAAGTCCTCCCTGCTTCAAGGCTTTGCTCAGCCGCCGCCATGCCAGACTGCAGCCGCAATTGTAGTCGCACTGGCCAGAACACAACAGAGCCTCGCGACAGCAAGGTTGAAGATGCGTGCAAGCATGTGGAAGCAGGAATGACGTCTTGCTGCTGCTACGGGGCTCAAGAAGAAGGCCACAGGCTCCACAAGCCGCCATAGGGGAAGCAGCAAGAAGTCACCGCCGCGGTCAAGGGGGTGCTGAACCTGCAAAAGGCATTGCACAAGGCTGCTTATCGAATGTGACACACGCCCTGCAGGCCTCACACATGTCTAGAAAGCACGACACATGTATCAACGCTGCCAGAAGCCTGAGCTAGTTCAGCTCAGTCTCCATGTCATTGTTCGCAAAGCATGCGAAAATCTGAGGCTGTGGCATGGGGATGATCAATTGTGGCCATCGCCGCCTGTATCCAGATGTCAGCACGTTCTGGCGCCTTTTTCCTTAGGATATGCTTGCAGAGGCCACAAAGTCACAACTCCATCACAACGACCACAGGCCAAGGTACTGGAAAGACTTTGGTCCTCACGCAGGCACCCAGCCGAGCCGAGCCAAGTCTCCATGGCATTTAGGGGCTGTGGGCGATTGGCTTCTGCGGTTGGAAGTAATCTTGTCGCTTCCAGCCAAGAGCGCAAGATCGTTCTACTGCAGCGATCATCTTCAACATCCTCATGGGTGACACAGGCTCTGAGATCCACGCCACTTTGGAAAGACTCCAGTAGCCTCATCGAGAGCGGGCCTGGATGCTCTCTGCGTGCCCCTGGTGTCCCCTGATATCTCTCTTGTCCGCGCACAGCGCAAAAATCAGACAATGTCGCCTTGTGATCTGGTCGCGCATTGCAGCACCTCCCACACATCTTTGCAAGGACTCTCTTGGCATTTGGGTTTCCCACCCAGTGAGAAAGATCTCCTTAAACAGCTGGTGCACATGTATAACAGGCTGAAGCATGTTCACCAGCCAGCGCAAAAACTTTAATCTTGCAGCATCCCGAATAACTCATGCTTGCTGCTAGTCAAAAAACCGTCACACAGTCAACCTGCAAGTTGGCACTCCGTTTTCGAGAACGCATCCTTTCCAGCAGCTCTGGTATATATGCCGCATGCCTTCTTTTGGCTTCTTGATGAATTTGGATTTCATTGAACCTTCATGCGAAGGGGAAAGTCGGTTGCGCGCGGGGTATCCAGGTGAAACAAATGGTCTGCACCACGTATTCCGGGGAAGCATCCCTGCAGAAATGCCTGTATGAGCTCCATCTACACCACTTTGCTTGACTGCTCCAGAAGACAGTCACACCGGAGTCGTTCTGCAAGGGCCTCCATATATCCTAACGGGTCCAGGGCTGCTGCCCTGAAGCCTATCGCTCGCTGTCTCACAGCTTCGCTTCATCAAGCGCACTGCCATCAAATGTTACTTAGGGAAACAGAAGTTTTCAGGCATAGTGAACCACTTTCCGCGAGACAGCGAAAGCAAAACTGGACCCCAGGCCCCATGCCTTTTGCGCAATGGAGATGGAGGCTCACGCAAGAATTATGCAGGTGCCCCTCCTTCACTGACCTCAGCGTAGTTTAACAAGTGCTGAACACTAGCCTTTCTTGATCCCTTGAACAGAGAATGCTCAAAGCCTCTGCTTGTGTGTTGTTCATGACACGGGGGAAGTATGCTGATGATGCAAAGCTGGGGTTGTAGCTGTTGGTGCTGCTGCAAAGGTGGATGTTGCTGCTGCTGCTGCTGCTGCTGCCAAATGCGCAAGCTGCTACTGCTCCAACTAAGTACTGCGGCCACCGAAGCTAGCATTGCGAAAGCGTGTCAGATGCTCAGGCCATTCTACAGCATTAACAAACATGAATCTTTATCTTCCGCCCTTCTTGACAGCAGGGCACCGGAGACGGATCCCCCGCATCATCGTATCCAGCGGTCTCCGACTCTTCTGCCCTGGTAGGGCGGTCATCTTCTGCAAGAAGCGCATAGATCTCCGCCTGTCACACTTTCAAGCCACAAGTACTGTGCAGCTTTGCCTCACCAGTTTCGTGGAATGCTAGATGCATGTAGATAGCAGCCAGCAGGTTCAAAAGGCCAAGGCGCCATAACCTCATCGGGAGGATTCTCCTTGTTTTTGATGGCCAAGGATATGGCCTCCTTGAAGACACGAACTACATTCGTCCCATCAGCTGAGGAAACCTAGGCAGGCAAGAAGCACAAATGCATGTGTTCCGTGCTCCCACCCTCATGCACTAGGCCTCCCCGCGCAATCTCACATCTCACAGGGTGCACAGCTGCAACATGACATGAAACGCCGAGCTGCAAAGTAGAAGGGAAGCTGGTGGGTGACTGGGAAGTTGAACCTCTTCTTTGCCATGCTAGGCTCCACGTCGATCTTATTGGCTACGCAGACCACAGGGATGTCTGGACCTCGTGTTTGCAGCTTGCATCTGAAAGGCAAGACTTCATGTGGGCTTGCATCTTTGCAGTTGTATGCTCCAGGCAGTAATTGCGAATTTCCTTGTACCACCTCGAGCCAACAAGACAACGCAAATCCTCCAGCCACAAGACTGCAAATGAATGTCGACTCTACCAGGGCTCCACACGTCTCCAAATTCTTGTAGGTGATCTTCCGAGTGACGTCGAAGGCTAGAATGCAGGCGTTTGCCTGAACTACAGAGAAAGCTCTCACTCCGACAAGAGTAGGAGGTGCAAGAATTCAAACTGCTGAACGACGGGGAAAGGCACCTGGAAATAGTACGAAGCATGCAACTTGTCAAACTGTTCCTGACCAGCAGTGTCCCAGAAGTCTATGGTCCATCTTCTGCCATCCTCACAGCACACAATTTGGACTGGAAAGCTACGCAGCTTCAGCTCTGACAGGTTCTAGAACTGGGGAGCATCTGATCAAATGGCAGCCGCCTAGGAGAAAGAGTCCTCAGCGGTATGGTGGTGTCGGAAGAGTGTCAAGGCGAAGGTTGACAGCGTTCGCGGATTGTAGTCGTCCTGAGCTTGCAACCCTTCTCAGCACACAAGCCCCGTGAAAGCAATTGAGGCGGGCATCGAGAAGAAACCGCTCCACCATTTTAGACTTGCCAACAGCAGAGTCTCCACAAAGAATGATCTTGAGGTCCTTGGCTGTGGAAGAGGTTCAAATCTGGACTTTTCTCTGACAGCTCTACCTCATGGATTCCAGTGGTGTGGCTGCTCATGCCTTCCGCGGCTCTGCTGGTGCGTGGTCATCTTCCGCCAACGGCCCCGCAGGCTCAGGCTCTTCTGCCATGGCTGCAGGGCCGGGGTAGGAAGTTGCGGATGAGGCGTAGATGCTATGGCTGGGGTCGCTGAAGAAGTGGTGCTGGTACGTGACGAGATAACTCAGGCAAAGGCCATAGACGCGTACAGCAGGTCATATCAAGCGAACCGTGATGCACATTCACATGACTCCTGAGCTGATCCCAACGCAAAGGTTTGGCTGCGGGACCACAGTTCCTGTGTCAAAAAGTGACAGTCAGCCAAGTTGGAAACTAGCCTGTGCAATTCAATGTCCATTCGTTAGCATGCCAGGTATGTGCTTGTTTCTCAGTACCCGGTCTAGTCGATGGACCTACCATCAGAACCCACAAGCACCTGGGCTCTGTTTGTCATCTGCCGCTGGCACAGCCTTTGGCCTCACAGTCAGCAAACGACTCTTACACCCTCAGCTCAATCCTGAAGTGGGGGAAGGTTCATCAGATTGGAAGCTCAGCTGTGGACGCCCAAAGTGGCGCAGGCTGCCCTGACACCAAAGCACCCGGCCTGTCTCGAAGATAGCACCACAAGGCATGGCACTGCACAGACATCAGCTACACGGAGATGACCGCTGCAAAAGGGATTTTTACATCTGCTTCAACAGGCAGGCGCTATCATCACGTTTTGGATCTGTCGCGAGCCACCCGAGCTCAGCACCTGGTTCTGAATCCCTGGCCAAATCATAAATGAGCATGGTTCCCACCTTCTAGAATTCTAGAAACATGCACATGGCCGAGCCATCTCAAGCTGAAACCTCATACATAGCTTGAGGGAAGGTGGCAAATGCCTGCCTGCACAACTGATCTGCCCCAAACTGCTTGTGCGACAGAAATGAGATACCGTGCAAGCCGAACATTGATGCCGCAGCATCTGGAACAAATGAAAACCAAGTCTGCAGTTGAGCTGCACTTCAGCTGGTTGCGAACTCCTGTTTGTTGCTTCACGTGTGTCCATACTAGCCTCTAAAGGGACACCCTGTTGCCCCTCATCCTTCCGCCCCCCCCCCCCCAGGGCACCAAGCCTGACCGCTGCTTCTTTGGCGCCGGCGCATACTTGTATTGCCGGGCCGAGGTGGACGCAGTGGACGGCACACGGCGTTTACAGTTAGTCGGATTTCTCCTTGTGGCCTAGCACGTGCATAACGTACTTTGCCGTGATGTCCAGATGTCGCGCAAATATGGTAAAAAGACCGCAACATTCGAACGAAAGTTGGTTTAGAGGAAGACGTAATTCCAGACCTGCGTGGAACCGTTATTATAAGCAAGCAAAGCGTTCCAAGTGAACAAAAACGAGTAAAAAAATCGAGTGAAGATTAATTTATTTCAGCAAGAACCATCCGTAGAATGCACAGCACATGGACATCCAACTTCATTGAGCTGTCAGTGCTGCCTGACGTCCCACGTCGTCAGCCTTGACCTTGAACTGCAAACAAAGAAGGTTGCTCACAGGAATTGACCAAATAGAGCCAACAGTAGAATGAATCGGCAGATTTCCTACACACAACTCGAGCTGACTCAGAGGATGCACGACATCTACGTCCACTTGATTCAAAATCTCTAGCACTCTCGCGGTTCCTGCTTCTCAGACTGATCGCCACACTAGTCCTGGGCTATGCTCTCTGACTGCAAAGGGGCTTGCCCTTCTGACTCGGATGCAGAGGCAATCTCCCCCTCTTCGCCTGCATGATGCATTTTTTTCTAGCGATGCGGCTATGCCAATGTGACTAGTGTGGATGTTGCACAACATTTCAGTGCAAGACCATGAGCTGCGCACGTTCTTTCCTGGGGCGGCCCTTGCCACCTGCGAAGTTCTCGTGCCGCATTCTTTGCAGCGCCTCGCAGATCTCTATAATTTTACTTGCCGATACCTTGCACATCTTGCATGTTCTTTTGGTTGGCTCGCCCTTTCTGCTGCTGCTCCGTCCCCTGTCCATACCAAACTGTCCTGAGTTCGCTTGTTCCTGGGTTTCATTGTCAGCTTGCTTACTTGCATTCTTGCAGTCCGTCTGTTCCTCCTCCTCCGCCTCCTCGCATTCCCCTTCTTCTTCTTCTCCTCTTCTTCTGCTGCTGCCTCCGCCTGTGTTGGCTTCCTCCTCTGTTTTTACTCAGTAATTCATCAATTATTTCTGCTGTGCGTGGTTCTTCCTTTCAATGCACGGCACAGCTCTGCTTGAAAGATTGCGGCGTTTGACTCGGCCATCTGATCTTGGTCTTGGCTTGCGTAATGCCATTGATGACGCCGCATCTTGAAGACCACGCTCTAACATTTGCTTTGACTTAGCTCTTGATCCTCACGACATCTCAAGCCTCTGCTCACCCAAGAGGGGCTGCTGTACAAGGAGATCTGGCAACAGCCTCTCCACGGAGCTCCTTCAAATGCTGTCTACGATCTTCATCCGGATATCTTTTACCCAACAAACCTTTTGACGTGAGGTGCTCTTCACTCACACACTTGCTGCGCTTGAATGCTGCACGGTTAATGGATTTCCTGGAGGTGTGCAAAAAAATCCAATACCTTTGCAACATGTTGTCATGCTGAACAGACACCACTGGACCGTTACAGATCCCAGGCTGAATCAAGAAACGTGGTATATAACGCTTCGGATGGCCTCTCGAGTCTTTTGCTCAGTGTCCTTGGCACCGACTGGCACAGGAAATGAAAAACTCTTTTAAGAGATCGTTGAAGCAGCTTACCGAGGCCTGCACCATCTGCCATCTTGACAGCTTGCTACCATGAAAGCACCTGGGCAGATTTGGATGGGAACTCTCTTTCGCTGATGCGGAACTTGAGCGTTTGACACACTTTCTTCAGACTTAAGGATGCGGCGGAGCTGAGGACGACGAGCTGTTGGTCAGAAGATCTTGCGTGTCCAGGAGAGGCATGAGGAGCCTTGCAACTTGCCAGTGTCCCTCTATCATGATTGCAAGGAAGGAAGGCTTGGAACCAGGCGGCTGTTTGTCGCCAGCCTTTCTGAAATCATGTGGTGAACACACACATTCAAGCTTGATTTCACTCCACCTGGCTTTTCTTTGGTGAAGCCGCTGCCCCTCCTGAAAGGGGCAGAGCAAACTGCAAACACAGAGGTACGTGCATCTAGCTGTGATGCAGGCTGATCCTCCTGGGTTCGACCTGGCCCAAGGGCTGAATTAGCTGGCACTTGCTCGACAGAAATTACGGGTCAACACCGTCCAGCCCTCGTCATTGCGATAGATTAGCAACTCGAACTGGCTCATGAAACCCACGGACCTGCAAGCAGGCACCTTCGGCATTAGCGGGCTGGAGCCTGCGCAGGCAAGCATGGTAAGAGCTGTCACGACTGCGAAGGCATGAAGATATAACAAGCAAAGCACGAACGGCAGTTCAGCTTTTCGAGGTCAAGGACTGCTTTCGAAGAGTTTGGAATAGTGCGGACACGATAGGCGAGAACACGACCGCCCACCTGCAGCTCTCAGCTCCAGCTTTGGCTCCTGCAAGTCAGCAGCACGCTCCAGCCTCCACAAGACAGCTTTGTTCTATAGATGAAGCTGATAGAAGACCCAAGGCCTGCGGGAAGGAGAACAGGGCGACAGAAAGGGATGCCTGAACTTTCCGGATGCATGCGTTCTTTTCCTCAGGGGGCTTTTTGCATACTTGGGTTCCAGCCCAGGGGAAGCATCTGGGGAATCTGTGGAGTCAGTGAGAGGCCCATGGCCGACCTCCGAAAGGCACGTGCGATTCACAAGCTCATGTGCAAGGATGCAAAAACACCCTTGTGTTTTCCCGCCTCTCTTGGGCTCATGATCTGAGGAGCTACGTGTGGCGATGCCATGGGTCCACGCGCTGGACCCAAGGCCGTTCCGTGCTCAGCTTCAGGTGATCTCCGGGCAGAAGCCTCCAACAGCTCACAATCACAACCCAACAAGTCACTGGGGCTGCATCCAGAGGACCTCCTGCGTTGGCCGTGGCGAGCTCCTCGGCTGGCAAACATCACCATCCAACTCGCATGTCCATGCGCACATCTTTTATCCCATCTTCAATCAAGGGCTCTTTGCCGGAAGGCTTGGTGACTCTCCCCTGCCCTTGCCAGTAAGGCATTCCAAGTACTGGATGCGCTCCTGTCAGCCAACAATCCTGATCTTTGAAGATTCCTGCTTTAGCTGCTTCAGCGCAGCCTGCTGATCTCGAAGCAGCTGAACTGCCGTCTTCAGAACAGCCAGGTCCTCCCTGACCTGCGAGAGCCAGCATAGCATGAAGAATTCGGAATGGCCACCAGCCTGAAAGCTGCTGAGGGGCAAGAAAGGCTGACCTCTAGTGCTGCTGTGTGGGGCACACATGATGCAGAGAACTTTTGGAAAGTTTCATGAGAGCGGAGCTGCACTCTTGGCATGGAACAAGATCACCCGTATGCCAAGCAGAGCCCTGAGGGACCTGAAAAGTGCCCTAAGCTTGTTGGCGTGGGGGGAGCGGCTTCATCAACTAAGGACCCTTCGTTCAAGGAGCCACAGGAAGGACATGCGACCGGGATGCGCTTCAAAGCAGACTGCTGCCTCACACAGCTTTTGCATAGCTTGCACCCCTGCCCGTCGCTCTGCCTGCCTAGCAATTCGTTCCAGGGCTGCATTTGCGCGACTCTGCAGTAGTGTGGTGTCCTCCAAGGCCACAGCCGAACATGCCTGTGTTGCTGAGCTCTTTGGCTCGGAAGATCTGAGTTCTTGGCAGCCAGCGCTCTTTCCAGTTGTGCCAGCTGCGCACAGCCAATGCTGCTTTTGCCTCGCCCCTGTTTGCAATGTACGCAATATGTGAAATCCTGTGCCTTGAACTGTCTTTCTGAGCCAAGGAACCTGGACAGGCAGCTGCAGGTCAGGCCGGCTGCTCGCAGAAGACCTGAACACACAGAGAAAGCCTGCAGACGAAGGCTACAAGTGCTGAGCGCACTCTTAAAAGAGCACGTATTGCATTTCCCTACGGCCTTGCATGTGAGCTCATTTTCTGCCTGCATCCTGGGTCCTTCCACTAGTGGAAGGTCACCATTTCAATCGGCAGGTGTCCAACATCCGCAAAGCGAGCCAAACTGACCCTCCTTGGCTGGAGACTGGCCGGGAACGAAGGACAGTCCCCACCGAACAGCGCTACCCAAGTCAGAGCGCAAACGCCTGCGAAGTGCTGCCAAGCTTCCCATCCGGATGAACTATGATCCTTCGCATATCTGCAGAGATATGCACACATGGAAGCAAGCAGAAGCAGAAGAAGGCTTTTAAAAGGAATACGCATGAGGAGAAGCGGTTGAACCTTTGCTCTAAGCGTCTCAGTGATGCCGGTATTGTCACCCCTGAGGCGGAGCCAAGCTTCTGGCGGAAGCTGCAAAGCCCTCATGACCTCAAAGCATCTTTCTTGGGCAGCAGCACTTGGCAGCAGAAATCCCAATGCAGCCGGGCTTCAAAATATCGAATCAGATTCATGTGGCACACCTCAAAACTTCGCTGGAGTAGTCTACGTACATCAACAGACATGCCGTATAACCCAGCAATTCATGGCCAGGGCACGTAGATTTCATAGACGTGCTGTGGCTGCTCTGCCTTTTCAGTCTCCTTCTCTGCTTCCTTTTCGGGCATACTCTCTGGTGGGACATATCCTGGTTTGCGTGCAGGGCAGGGTGTCTTGAACATGTAGCATGGAATTTGCTCACATGTGCCCGCCGAATGTCCTTCTCCCAACTCCTTCTTCAGCTTCTTCTCGCGCTTGGCTTGCTTTTCCGCAAGCCGCTTGTGATCAACGTCGCGATGCACGTACTTGCGGAATCCCGCTTCCATTCGAGCGGAGTCAACCCAGTAGTCGGAAGTTCTTGCCGGAGCTTGCGAGGTGGGATGTGGCACGGTTGGCTTGCCCTCTGCCAGGAGAGGGTCTGGTTCATTCAGTGGAACATCTGGCAAATAGCTGGCAAGAATCTCTGCAGTCTGCTGCGCTCGGGTGACGTTGCTCACCCAAATGCCTCTGTACTGAATCTGAACCTCTCCATATCGGTCTTTCTTAACACCAAGCCGGTCTGCCAGGAGCCTGCAGGCATGCTGACCAAGGCATCCAGGGCTCTTCAAAGCCCGAAGCACAACGCATCTGCCCTCCCAACCTCTGCGCCAGCTTTGCTGACTGCTCACGGCCCAGGTCAGTCAGCCTCGGCTTTCAGGATTTCAGTCACTTCCAGTCACCGCATTCTGCAGGCCTATCACAAGCATCCTCCTTGCTTAGCATTTCTTACAAAAATGTTTGCAAGCTCCAAGCCAAACCACCCGTGCTCGTCGTCATCCAGGTTGTACTGCCCGTGCCTCACGAATAGCAGGTGCCGAATCTGTCCAGTAGTCTTGACTGGGTTGGCAGATGGCAAGGAAGTTGGCGGAGCGCGTCCATCCCAATCAACATTCCACGCCCTCTGCCACAGTGTGGAAGCATCTGAACACTGGGCTGGATCCCTCCACCACTCACTATCACAGGAGCACGACCGTGGCTTCTTGCGATTCTCTTCCAGCAGTGCGCCTAAGACAGCTCCGGCAAGTAAAGCCGCAGGCGTGAGGGCCACAGAACCCTGCCGGCACTTGTTCTCTTGGAGAGTTTGGTCATGGAAGGAACTCGTGTAAGGTCTGGCCGCAATGGTGTTGCGCAGCAGACATCTCAAAGCCAGCTGACCCTCAGCCAGCGCGAGTGAGGGCCGTATGGTTTGCATGAGGCGTGCCATTGCAAGGAGACTGTCTTTGAACCCGCGACGGGCAATCAAGTCATGAGGACCCTTCTGAATATCCCTATGATCCTGCCCAGAGGTTACACAGGAGCCAGGCCTGGTGTCTCCGTCAAAGCTGCAAGCTCTGCTTCGACCAGCTGCGGCATCAGCATCCTGCGCGACTTCGCTCCAGATCATCTGAATTCTGCAGATAAGTCATGGCTCGAGACCGACAGCTTGCCGCCGGTTTTGCTCAATTCCTGTGTATCTGTCTCGGGCAGACGGGGATCTGCATCCAGTCGGCTTGACCTGTCACGTTATGTTGGTTGCATCCGGAAGGGACGTGTCAAGGCAAACCAACACAGGCTCCGGCGACGCTCGCTCCAACGCATCCAGCCGCTGAGTGTTTAAGGTCTCCATGAACTTCGTCAACACCAACAAACCCCAGAGCGGCAAACATTAGCTCCGCGGCCTGATCCAGATCCAGGCTTACGGGTCTGCAAAAGGAAATCCCAAGCCGCGGGCCTCTGGGTCCTCTCAGAACGGACGTACTGCTTGATGTGTAGAATCCCCCCCCCATGCCGATGCGGGGCATTGGCGGGCCGCAGCTAGAATTTAGAAGGTGTCTGACATCAAAAATCTGAAAATCGAAAGCTTCACACATTGTGTAAGGCTTTGCACATCATGTACCGGTTTCAACTGCTTCCAATATCTTCGGCGGTCGCTCTTAATGAACACGGTGCATGAACACAGCGATTCTGCCGGAATTGCTGTTAGAGCTGCAAGAAACACTTTACCTTTTTGCTTCTGCTCCTGCCCCAGCTCAAGCCTTGCCTGTCCCCACTCCTGAAGCTTTGCTTCACGAATCGTCCGTGATTCTACTTCCCGCGCCTGCGCAGAGTTTGACATGCACCTACCTAAAGCAGGCGCTACATCAAAGGAACCAACGACATGCTACACACTGGGCTTGCTGTGGCTACACAACTCAAGGGCCAGTGGGTTCAGAGCGCGTCTTTGCTCATCACTCAAACCTTGGTGAGCGGCTCTGCCACCAGGGAAAGGTTCCTATCTTCTGTCTCTATCCAGCACAGAGGCCGCAACATCTCAATTGGCTGCTTCTCAAGCTTCCAGCCACCCTTCAGCAGCTTATTGACATGCCACTAGGCCACTGGGCAAACTGCGGAGTCTTGGTATGGTGCCTGTTCCATCCTCGCAGGGGCATCACCGCTACCTGGCACGGTCAGGGCGTGGAGGAAAGCAGGCACGTGCTGCAAGCAAGCAGCGGTAAAGGGAAGCAGTGTGACAGTGTGCAGCTACAAGTGGCAGGTTAGGGTTCCTCTCCCGCATATCGGCAAAAACTGGCAGTTGGATTCCCTTCTACAGCACCCAATCAAAAGTGGCTCTCCAACAGTGCTCACATAGTTCCACAACAAAGCCGCACGCGTACCTGCCTCTGCTGCGACGAGGGCGCTTTGGAGAGCCTCTGGCTTCAGCCGCATTTTGAAAACCACGTTGCTTGGTACGTCCTCTGTATGGCCAAAGATTGATTCGGAGCCTACATCTTCAGCAAAGAGACTACCAGGACAAGCTGTGAGTGATCAAGCTACCTTCCTAGTTCATTCAATTTCAGGACTGTTCACTTCATGCTTCGGTTCAACCAAGATTTCGCCACCTCAGAGTGTGAAAAGTGCGCCCTAAGTCACAACGCTCGCTGAGGCCGCCGGCGGACATCAGGGACAGGCTCCTCAATCACAGCCTGGATTGAAAGATCTGCGCTGATGAGTCACCCTTCGCCAGTTCAATGCAGAAGGCTTCGTGAGCAGTTGCCACACAATGGACCAAGTAGCTCCAGGGGCATCTGCAGACCCTGCCCCAGCATCCTCGTCCACGTCCCATTCCTGCCGCCACCTTCCAGAAGCATGGAGCGGTCACGCTATATGATATTGTCTTCCTGCGCGGCCTTCGGACGGCTGCATTGCAGAACTCCTCCCGCTGCGGAAGAAATACCTCAAGGCACAGTAGGTTGAGCAAAGAATCCACACATTGGGAGTAGCTACCATTTCTTGGTTTTGGTGCTTGGAAGGCTATTAAGGCATGCTGTCCCAATTGTTTTTTGGGGGGCCTCCGGTTCTTTTTCCGTACTTTTTGGTTTTGGTGCCTGGAAAGGTTATTCGCGCATGCTTTCTGCAGAAGGCTTGAGGTTTAGAAGTGCAGGGTCTGCATCGGAATTGCGGGAACATCCTGATTGGATGACATGCTGCCCGGGTGAACTTTTGGAACGTTTGAAGGAAAGCTCCGAGGCTGGTACGCGAGGTGTGATTGCCATCGATGACGGTCGAGTTTCTTTTGGTGTCAGCTTGCGCGGCTTAAAAAAGAAGCAGGGTGGTTGAGGGTGGGGCGCAACGTCCCCCATTTGCAAACATAATGATTGGATGACATGCTGCCTTCGTGAACTGTTGAAAGACGCTCTTACAGGCGACCTCCTGCCAACGGTAAGAGTGTTCATTTTTTTGTT